AGTTAGATGTTTTTCAACACCTTGGTTCAAACAAAAATATAACCCAGCTATCACATCTAAATAAAAAATCAGTTTTCTATGAATACATCAGTTGATAACAGTTAAGTGAAGGTTTCTTTACTGATGATTAGCATAAACATTCGTTACATACTCTGAATAATAATTTTTTTTAAACGTATCACTCTTAACACTTCAAAATTTAAGAGGCGAACAAATTAAATGTAATGTTATAATTTGCAACCAAAAAATTCTTTAAAATATTTCTTAAAGTGACAACATGCACCACAAACTATTTATGTAGATAAAAAAAGCTATCGTTTCCAATGTAATAGTTTAACATTCCAGATCAACTCACCTATTTTCATAAAGTCGGTCTCATCTTTGATACTGTCTGGGCCGCTTCATGTTGTTTGAAAAGTTCAGCAGGTCGATACCCTAAGAACGGATCAACATAATAGTTATTCTCTTTTAAAATCTGCATTAGACATGGGAACTGTTAAGGCATGGCTGCTGAGAGCAAAGAAAGCAAACACACTTTGCAGTCTCCAATGCAAGTAGGGGTACAAACCTTGTGGCTGCCAGGGTAGAGATCAGGTTGGGTCCACACTGAAGTTCAACACTTTTCTCTGCATGTTGTTTCTTGAAATGCACTCAATACTAGAACCACTAAAACAACTGAGGGTAGTCTTGACTATTACAAAGTTTTGTGAATAGATTCCACGAAAACTTCTCTTGAGAGTTGCAGGGGGTTGGCTTTCAGATTTGATTTGTTTTAAAAAAATTGGTCTTTTCAATCGCATTGCTAACATTCCTACTAATTCACTATACCCAAGTGAATAAGGGAAAATAACTCAAACTTTGAGAAATAGTTAAAAACTACAAAAATCTGAGAATATACTGACTCTGTTTACAAACAACACGACAAGCACATGGCCAAGTTGCAGGTTAGGCTGCGACTGCCGGCCGGCTTCCGCCCTGCCCGTTTTCCGGGTGAAGCGCGCGTGAATCGTGCGAATTCAAACGTACAGCAAAGCGTAAACAACATGTAAAAGCACATTGCGCCAAAAAAGTTTTCCCCCTTTTGATATGTTGTTTACCATAACGCGACAGACAATGTTACATTAGATGTTTAATAATTTTGGTGACATTTAGGAGTAATTATGGGGAGTGGGGAGACGCACGAAAATGGCTAAGTCCAACCCAAGTGCATAAAGTTACCAAAAAAATGTGTTCCCATCTTTTGATATGTTGTTCACAACTACTGGAAACGTCCAGTCAACTTAACATGGGAAGTGACAAATTTTGACCGACACTTAAAAATTTTTCGACGATTGGCTCGCGAAATCACAAGTCCGTAAGGAGTGGTGGGAGGGGAGTCATGGAGAGGAGGTGGGGAGGGGGGGAGTACGCCACACTCCGCCACGCCGTGCCAACTCTCACGACTATCTACGACTCATACGACTCATTTTGGGGGACCCCGAGAGGACCCCTGACGACTCGTACGACTACTGGAGGCCGCTCCGGTGGACTTTCCGGGAAGTGACCCCGGAGAACAAAAGAAAACGGCAACTCTGACGACTGATGCCCTACTCGTACGACTATTCTCTTCGCCTCGGGAATGGAGGCTTAAGTCCACCACCGGTGTAAAAGGCTAGCCACGTTCTCCTCCTGATGGACTTTGTTACTTGCTTGCCAAAAGTTTTTGGTGAAAGAGATATGAAAAAATATGTCATTAACAATCATGATCACTTCTTTCATGATAAACGTTTCCCCGAAACCCCGTATTCCATGGGTCTCCCCGTGTGATTGCAATAAAGAAAACGAAATTACTAATCCAGTTTCAACCATTTATTTGGACCATATATATGTCAAAAATGTAATCACCACGAACGTTGCAAGTCTTATTTTGTTTTCGGAATAGTCTTAGCATCTATGACCCAGCATCCGTAAAGGTCCTGAGCTTTGCCAAACTTAAGTCTGAATCTCCAGTATCCATAAGGCATGCTTGGAAATTTTGGAAAACTCCAGTCCACTGGGGTGTTATGAGCCTCGTAAACTCCCTGTAAACAGTAGCCATCAGAGTTTTTGTGCGGATACAGAGAACCGACTTTCATCACGCCTGACGTGAGAATCGCGCTCCGTATCGGAACTCCGTATCCACCTTTTAGACTTGTCAATTGTCACTCTTTTGTGTTTGATGCCACAACAGTTTTCACTCTTCATCCAGAAAAAGAAATACGTTACATAGCGATTGACTTGCAGTCTAAGTACTTACTGGTGGCAGAATGCAGGGGCCTCTATCTTCTCCCTTTAAAATGTGCTTCCAAAAATTGGGACTATGTTCTCTGGCGGCTCGGCATGCACTCTTTTGAAAATTGAAGACAAAGGCGTTTTCCTTCCATTGATTGTTTGCTCGAATGTCCATAACTATTTTCATCTGTTACATCAAGGTTCGGTATGTATTAGGTTGGCATCCACTTCTAAGTATTTGGATGCCAAACACGTCGGTTTAAAGTGGATTTGAAATGTCTTACCCAGCCGTGGTCGTTAAGAGTACCATTTACACCCGTAACATTGCCTGTCAAAAGTTGTAACTCTTTTGGTTTATATGGGTTGAAATGAGAACCGCGGAGATTTAGTGTCCAGGGAAGAAGGCTGCTGTTTGGTTCGCACATGTAAAAGCGTTCGGCATGAACAATGTAAGGGCCCTGTTCACAACATACATGCAGAGCAAATTAAATTTGTCAAATAAAACAAGTTAAGTAATGCCAATTTAACCAGTGCGTTGCAATGCCACACCCATACAGAAAAATGATTAGGTATAGCGGACATCGCATGGTTAATTCAAGAAGCACCACAAAAAATATGGTTGATGCAGCATTAACGTGGTTGTCAGAACCAAAACTATGGTTTCCGTCCGTCACGTTGTCGTGGTTGTCTCAACCATATTTTATGCTGCTTCCCGAGCCAACCATTGAGTGCTTGCCATGGCTAATCAGTTTTTTTGTGGAAAAATCCATGATGTTCTTTGATGTTGGTGGTTAAGGCCCCCTGTTGACAAAATAGCCCATATTTCGAAGGAGCCTTGGAATGGGCATCATCTAACTTACAATCAAAGAGTTTATAGCTTTGCTGTGGTCGCCCTCATTGAACATGAGAGTTAGGAGCACGAGTTGGAATGCCAGGTTAGCTCCAGTGTTTCGGGTTTGCATGTCTCTGGACAAATCCCGAACCGATGTGGCTCAGGCGGGTCCAGTGCGAGAGAGAGAGACAGAAGACGCAAACCCAGTACTGCTCACACTCCCGTTCGTCGTGTTCGGTTGCCGGAACCGGAACCGTCCTGGTCTGGGACAGTGGCTGGATCAACCGAAGTGTTGCCGTTTGTTGCCGTCCGGGACCGCGTCCTCCAAGAGACTGGGTGCTGCTGTCATGCGCGGCCAGCGTCCGGCCTGTGACGCACATTACTAGATTGGAAAGCTGGATATCAGACAAATGACCTCCGTTTAAAAAAAATTAAAACTGAAGATAGCCACGTTTTTTTTTCTTTT